CCAAATTCTTTTTTTTTTTTTTTTTTTTTTAAACTTGCTCCTAATAAGCATTACTGGGATATCAGGTTACCATACAGCAGTACAGTTTTCTGTATTCACTAGATATAGATAGTACAGTGGTAGGGGAGGAAGACATTTCTAGTTTTTCAGTAGCGCACAACTAGTTATTGCTCCTTTTTGTGGCAGTGATTCCAGGAGAAAAGGAACAGCACTGAAAGAACAAAGCTCAACCCAGTTGTTCCTACAAGGTACATTTGTTATCAAATAGATTAAAAAAATTAAAAGACAGAATCTGTTTAAAGACTCTAGTTAGTTTTGCCGAAAGAAAAACAGTTCTTCATGTCGGAACTGAAGACAGACTTAGGCGAGCAGGATTAAACTGAACTGTAAAGAGAGCGGTGAAGGAAATGCTGCAGAAGTGCATCACTCCAGGCTCAGGCTTTGCACGCAGCACTGCACCGAGCACTCGCCGAGTCACGTCCTCGCCACTCCCCCCTGCACACGTGGGACTCGCTGCAAGATGTAAACACTCTCACACTGCTCGGGCTCGGGCAGGATCAACACTTCCCCAGGACAAAAGCGTTCTGCACAAAGTAGAAAAGGAGCTGCCATTAAAAAAAAATCCTACGTGTTTGCTTCTGTAACGTATTTCAGCATGCATTTGTGCTCTCCAAAGAGACAGCATGGGAGCAGATCAATGATAAGCTACATATGACCAATTTGGCTTAGGAATGCCTCCCAAATAGACATTTGTCAAGTATGTTTTTCCTCATCAAGGCTGCCAAGAAGCAAGACAGCCGTTTTAAACAGACAGTAGTCTACTATTAAGTGCACTTAATAAAGAATAAGCATCAGTGGACGCAGATGCTTGTTCTTTAATAAACAATCAGCGTTCCTAATGACATGCAAACAACAACAACAATACAAACCCTTAAAGCATTTACATAGTGCTTCAGTCAACGTGGTTTACAAACATTTAAGCATCACAAGACGTCTCTAATGCAGGTACCTGGTAATAAGCAGTGCCCCAAGACACTGGATTTCACAAGGATCTAGGAATTCCAAGTACCAGTCCCTTCCTTCAAGCACTAGTCTACACTTGCAATGCCAACCAACAACCTCCACGGATTCAGGAGTTCAGGGACTGGGTCTCAGGACAGAAGAGTGCACTGTTACAAGTTGCCGAGCAGGAAGAGGGAAACAAATTCTTATCCAACTGAGACAGGTTACCAAGCTGGCAGTAGAAGAAAACAAGGCTGGATAGGAATGGAACAAAAGTGCTGAAGAGAGTGGGATGGCTTTGGAGCAGAGCGAACTCGACAGTCCATCTTGTGGCAAGTCTGTAAGGGTTGTGAGTTCTGCAAATATTTCATTCAAGGACCACTTGGTAAGAGAGAAGCCTTTTTCCTACACTGGCTCGTTTCATAGTCTCTCGGCCTCCCGTTGACTCAGCCCCAGTGCATTTCACCAGGAAAGAGCCTGAACACATGATAGTTCACGGTGAGTTCAAGAACCATCGATATAAAAACTGTAGAGATTTTTTACGCAAAACAGTCTTGCTAACCGTTCCAACGTGTTCAGAGTGGGCAGCGCATAACTATACAAATGTTTTAAGACTAGCAATAATAGCTGTACTTCAAGGACTACTTAAGTTTCTGGCAAGTGGTTTCAAAACTGAAAAGGACCATAAAATAGATCTTACCAACTTCTGTATTCTGATGCAGTAAAGTAGAAAGCATAACACAACCCAAAATACTTCAAGTACATGCAGAGAAGTATTTATAAGGAAAAAGTAACACATGCAAAGACGTATTTACATTATTCAACTCAAGACTATGCCCACCCACAAAAAGCAAAGAAATTCAGAGTTTAAGCCAAAATAATACCTTACAGAAAACCCGCAGTACACAGGAATTGTAGAATGACGTGTAAAATAATTCTCTATTGGAAGACCGAGGTAAGTCCCAGACAAGGCAACACTGATACCCAATATTAAATTATGAATTTGTGTTTAAAATTTCAGTAAATTTGTATTAAATTATTAGGCAGTGCTGGAAAAAAGTATCTCAACATAGGCATACGACACCCCCCCCCCATATTGCAAGAAAAGACAAAAACCCCACAAGTCCAACTTCAGTAAAAAGATGCAAGACCCTACCTGTCAAGAAGTGTCGAGACAACTTGTAACCACATAAGAGATCCTTTGTTTCAAAGCTGTTTCCATACACTGAAAATCTGTGTAAAATTCCACACAAATTATCGTATGGTAGCCTGTCCCACATCGACGACTAGACCTACTCAGCTCAACCGGCTCATTGTCTAACAAAGCCTGAAAACTAAATTTAAACAAACAAAACCAAAAAAACCAACTTAGAGCAATTTCTGGCTGAGGAGCAAGTCTTAAAGGGTAAAACCACAGCTCTGACATGCTCCCAGCCCAAAGGGTGCAACTATAATCCTACTTAAGAATGAATCTAGAAACCAAAAAGCTTAAAAGAACAAACTGGAAAGACTAATACACACGAGCAAAGAATCAACGACGCACAACATTTTGTACCCACAAAATTGTTTAGACACTTGCACAGGTTAAAGGATTTTCTTTAATCATAAATAAAACTAGTGCCTTGTTTTGTTTTTTTAAGCCTTCTCTCCCATCCAAGGATAACACCTTTATAAAAATGGCTAAGGATGCAACGTGGCATAATGCAATGCTCTGGAGTAAACGTTTTTATCTGCTTACTACTGAACTACTAACGCCTTTGATTTTCTGATGAAAACCGTTTGTTTCCAACTCCAAATAAAAATCTCAAAGCTGGCTTTGAACCAGATTCTGTAAATGGTCATTCTTAAGGAGGCACTGTCATGGCCAGCATAAAATTGGGCCTTTCGGACTTTGTTCTGGTTCACGTACAGTTGCCCATTTGCTTTGCCTGCTCTTATTTGGAAAGCAGACAAGTATCAAAGATTCGAAGATTCCAGCACACCAGTCATCACAAGCCCGCTGGAAACCAAATCAAACCAGTGTCTGAATGCAGGCGATGGATAGCTAAAAGACATTTAACACTTTTCTAACCGTCATCTCCATGGGCAGAGCTGCTCACGACCTCTGGCAGTGATCTCCGACTGCATTAACCGAACCAGAGATTGAACCCTAACCATGGCGCTTGGAGGGGAGGCAGGCAAGGGAAAAACGAAGTTTCACAGAAGGCAGGACTCTCAGGCCTGTAATGCCACCTCATTTTCTTGCCCAAGATATTTTTTGGGCGACTGCCATCTCTCGGCTTTCATACCCCAGCTATGCCCGTTTCTCCAGCGCGTTCCGAACCAAACGCATTGTCCTTGCCCTCCCTCCACCTAAAAGCTGTTGGGAAGTCACTGCCACAAACGGCCATTATCTTTCAGATGCAGATGAAACCATCCCCAGGCAAACGTAAACCTTTAGTACTCCTTAATAAATGCGAGTGCTTTGGTAGGCCAAAACTGGTCATTCCTGCTCATGCCCAATAGCTCTAAGTCCATTATTTTTCACCTATTTCCCCAACTCCTAAACTTGATCATTAAAAATAAAACAATATCAATTTATATAGTTTCACAAGCTAAACCACAGTCTTAAATGATTTATTTCCTGCTCGATAAACTAACCTGACAAAGAAGAACAAGCCTGAACCAGTACCAACCAGCACTGACATTCATCGTACTGTAACAACGTTCATATCTGATTTTACCTCAAAACATAGAGCCAAGAAATAAATCTTATTCCTGACAACGCTTAAGAAAAGGGCTCCAGGTAGGCTAGCGCACCAATTTACTGGCCAGCCTTCTGTGGCGAGCAGGGAGCTCCCACATCACTTCCCCCAACCCAGAGTTTTTCTACGCGGAATGTCCCAAGAGCATGAACACCTTAACGGATACGGAGGGCACAGGAGCCACAGGATACAGTGGGGAACTGAACTTTTGTCTGGGGGTCTGCAGGCAGGAGAGAGGATTCGCTCGTCAGCATAAGGCATGGCAGCGCAGAAGATCCACTGGTCTGGACTGGGAAGAAAGCTCTACCACTTGTCTCATCTTTCTTGTCCAATACCCCTGTGCAGCCCCTGTCATAGAGGGCCAGGTACAAAGGTATCAGTCAAGGTGCCAAACTCTGGCAGAAAAAAAAAACAGTGTTCACCTGAGAAAGCCTAACCCAATACTAAAAGGTTGCTGAGGATTATGAATGAAATGTTGACAACGGCTGGTTCCTTATGCGAGGCATGGAAGCAAGAGGACTCACTCATGCCAAGAGGGAACATTCTGTCCATTCAGACAGGCTCTGGAAGCTTTCCTTTCTCCATCAATATTACAGACTACCTAGACACTCACACAGAGTTTAAAGTTGTGACTAGACAGACAAAAGTTTCTTCAGCACAATTCAACCATAGAAAGTCATGCTCAAACACCTATTAAGATGAATTAGCAGATGATACCAGTAAGACCTGGCAGTAACATTATAAACCATTTTCCAGAGTAACTCTGTATAAAGACTTCATAAGGAATTCTGGTCTTCAGAATACGCTGCACCTGGAAAACCTCAGCTGGAGGGCAACATGGATTCTCAGAAGCACACAGGACTGCTTCCCTGATCTACACTGATAGGAAGAAGCACCAGAAAGGCTGATGGAGCCATTCCGTGGAGCGCTCTGGGGATTTATTTAATTTCCAAACTATACAGGTATCGGTACATTCATTTACTGTTCCTACTCCTTTACCCACCATGGTTTTCCTCCAATGATGTAGCACCTTAGAAAGGTATGCAAGAGCTGTCTTCAGAGGCTAACGCTGTACCCGTAATGTTATCTTGGCTCAATAGCTACTAGTCCAGATAATAAATTCCCCACATCTCAAAGAATGAGCATCACAGGCAAAATCCTGCCCAG